ACACTGCTGGTTGCACATAATATGACCATTAGTGCTCCGTTATGCCAATTTCATGTTAACAAGGAAATAGAATTAAAAGAAAAACCAGTGCGTGCACTAACAATACAACTAGTGTACACAACTGTGGGGAGAGCACTGAGAGGACAAACATGAGTGACTGCTACAACTTCATCCACTGAGAAATAAAGGTGAAGGATATCTTTGAGGGATACTGACAGGGCATATTATCTCGTTGAAGCTTTCAAAGCATCTCATTATTGGCATATTGACACATGAAACAATCCTCGCCACCAATCCATCACTCGGCAACCAGACCCAACTTAGCCCTAACCTAACTAGGGATCTCCAGCAAACACCAACTCTTGCCTGATATAATTGGATTAACTGGAAGAGAAATCACAATGGAATTCTCACCTTCTAAAACTAATGGTCCACCTTGTTCAACTATATGACCGGTATAGAAATCTGTTGATGATGTACTTGAAAGCAACAATTTTTATGATTGTTTGCCTGTAATAGGATATACTCGTCCCGTCCCGAAATTAGTGTCGTTGATTTAGTACAAAGTTAGGACGAAGAGACTACTATATACTACAAATCCCGTGAGCAAATGATTTAGTATTCCCTCCGTTTCTTTTTAATCTGCATATGAGATTTGGTCAAAGTCAAACATGGTAAAGTTTGACCAACTTTATAGAAAAAAATACCAACATCTATAACACTAGAGCTATATGTTATGAAAATTAATTTCATGATGCATCTAAAAATATTGATTTCATATTGTGAATCTTGATATATTTTTTTATAAACTTAGTCAAAGTTAATAAAATTTGACTTTGACCAAATCTTATATGCAGACTAAAAAAACGGAGGAAGTAAGTAAAACTAGTAAGCCTAGTTCTATTTGCATATACAGTATTTAATTAGTATTCTTTTTTGCGGGGGTATTATATTAGTATTCAACTGGCTAGTTCATACGAATGATTTCAGGCCTGCTACCGCACAAAGATAAATTGGCTGTAAACATCTTGTACGTAGTCGCCAACGGGTAGCTGAAATTCATCAATCAATCTTGCATATACTCCAATTGATAACTACTTAGTTTGCCAATTGGTGGACATGTACGTACGTAGTTAGCCACTGAATAGCACACGTAGTTTGACTGTAAACAAATACGTATAGAAGATGTGCAGCTAAGCTAGCTAGCCCTAGCAAGGCAACAAGAGCCAAATGGACATGTAAAGAAAAGAAAAAGGCACAATAATTGTGGCCTTGTTTAGGGTAGCTCCCAAGTGCACATCAACACGGAATCCATCCTTGATAATTGAGCTAAACATTTGAAAGCCCACAATCATATTCAGTTCATGGTATAGTTGTAAGCATGTTTGACTCGAACCTAATCTAATCTAATCACAAGAACATGTTCCTAACAAACAGAAGAAGAAGAAAAAAAAACTAAGAACTTGAAGCTTGAGAAATTGAATGTAAGCAATCTGCTAATTGGTTATTATGACTGATTTAGATTGCGCGATAAACTTAGCTGAAGCGATGAGGCAGAAGAGATGGAGAGCTTACCCGGCCGTAGCGACCAGTGGGGTCGGTCTCGACGTATCCATTGTCGTTGTTCCTCGCCGCCGGTGGCATCTCCGGCCGCCGCGGGCTCGACATGGCTTGACTACTGCTGCTCTACTAGCTTAGTACTAGGCTCGCTGCGGCTGTGTGGATGGATCAGTAGGTGATCCTGCTGGCGGCTAGCTTGCCGTCGTGATAGGTGAAGAAGACGCCAGAGAGGAGGCGCGAGTCGTCGATCCGCCGCAGCATGATCCACGCCGCCGCAGACGACGACGAGGTGGAGGACGCCCCCGCAGCCGCAGCGTCGTCCAACCACGACCGCGGGCTGCTCATCTGACGCCGACAAGGACGGGGCGGTAGTAATAGGAGGTGGCAGGTTGAGTGCTGGAATTGGATGCCTCCGATCGCGCACGCGCCGGATCAATCATGCACGCATGTCATGTCATGTCAGGTCCAGAATAATCGTCATGGCAGGCAGGCAGGCAGGAGGAAGAAGAAAAGGCGGAATTTTTCTGGCCTGTGGTCCGGACACTGCCAGAGAAGGAAGATTGTTTGGGGCTACAAGGATCTGAACCTGAAGAATCCATGCCTTGAAAGCTCCATCTGTGGACAGATGACAGATGCAATTCGGAACTTTGGTGATGATGAGGACGAGACGGATAGCGGAGGATCGTAGAACGGTTTGGAGGCTTGTGAATGGGATGATTCCCTCGTGGATATATATGCTTCTGTTACTCTGCTTTTGGAGGGCGCTGGGGATTGTAGTCGTTGCTTCGTAGTACTCCCTTCATTCCACAATGTAGTGTTTCCTCTATCTCTGTGCTTCAACTTTGACCATAAATTTAACTATCAAGACCGATTGCGGCGGGAGCAAAAGTTATATCAGGGAATTCGTATTCGAAAGAAGTTTTTAATTATGTAACTTTTTCTCCCGCCGCAGTCGGTCTCGTTCGTCAAATTTATGGTCAAAGTTCAACCTTGGAAAGCGCGGGCGCACTATATTTTGGAATGGAGGAAGTAGTAGAGATAAATCTGGTGTGGGTAGGAACCCCTCTGTTTCGAATTACTCGTTGCAAAAATGAATATATCTAAATGTATTTTAGTTGTAAATACATTCATTTCTGCGACGAGTAATTTAAAACGGAGGATCCAGACTCAAATGGACAAGATGTGTCTGTCTTCCTCTCCTTGTGTACTTTCTCTGTTCCTAT